GAAAAGACATTTTGTGACATATTAATATATTATAAGTTCTAATATATTAATATGAAATCATGTTATTTAATTAGTATTGATCAAGAATTAATTTGGACTTAATTTAGTGATCAAAAAGAGACTAATTAAATATATGGGGATTGATTGTGTAAATCATTCATTCTTATATATGTGGGCTTATGATCCAAGATTCCTTTATGTTGGGTTTAACCCATGTGGTGATCCATGGATACTCCATGGAGGTTAAAACCCATGGAGCATAAGGAATGGGTAAAGTCATGAGTTACATGGTGTAACCCTAATAGCCACACTATATAAGAACCCCTTTAGTTCAAGAAATGGGCACTAGTGATACATATTTTGAGGGCTAGCCAATTTGAACATGTATGTCTTCTTCTCATGGTTATTCCAAGAGTTCATGATGTTGTGTGAACCATTTGAGGTGTCACACTTAGGGCACTAGGCTCTCAAGCTTCATGGAGTCAAGCAACAACAACAAGGTATGTATGCTATCTATTTTATTATCCTAGTATCAATGTTTGGTATGCTAGTTAGGATAATACCTTGGATAATCATATTTGCATGTATAATAGAGAAAACATAGATCCAAGGTATTTAGGGTTGCATGTACACTTAGGAGTGTTAGAATGCTCAAAACCCATCAAATGAAGCAAAACCTTGGGATCTACTAGCTTCCTCTTGATCTCCTAAGCTCTGTTATTCTCCTTCAACTTCAAACACACACAAAAAGGCACCAAAAGAGCTCAAATCACTCAAAATGGTTTAGGGTTTCAATCTAGGGTTTCTCTGAGTTGGGAGGGTGATGGGGGCTGGGTTGGGACGAGATAAAGTGTTTAAATAGGATGCAAACCCTAAATATTAGGGTTTTGTCCAGACAGCTCCTACTCGTCGAGTCGGTCTTCCGACTCGTCGAGTAGGTCACTTAAACCCCCGATCCAACAGTCGAGTCTACTCGACGAGTTGGGCCTCCAACTCGCCGAGTCCCAGAGTAAATTGTAACATTTCAATGAAATTAAATACGTACCAGGAATCGGGTGCTACAGTTTATGATTTCAATAGAAATATACACCGATTTCTTGTTTGAAAATTTAGAATCACATGATACTTCTATACTCCAAGAAGCTATTTCCATTAAATCCAATAATATTGGTTGGAACAAGATAAAGGTTTTGGTGAATATTAAGATATTCAATATGAAGTTGAAAGGATTATGAGTGGAAATATGAGTATTCTGAATTTGGAATCGTATGATTGTTTCTTAGAAGATCATATTGGATTAAGTTGTAAAAAGTAATAATGGTTCTATTGGTTGAACTATTGAGTTTGAGAAATCGCTGCGATTTAGTGGATTTCCAAATGAGAAGTAAGAGCTGATGACATATTTGAAATATATGTTTGGATTACAAATATAAGAATTTCTTAGTTAATTTCATTTGTATGCTCTTATAATTATATGTGGTTGTAACTTCTCGAAATTTGGAAGTATATCATTTTGATATGAACTAAAACTTCTAAATATAGATTTAGAAGTATAAATCTACATGGAACTGTCAAACAGTTATCTTACCTGAGGGAAAGCAACAAAATGTGTGAGTAGTAAAGTCATTATATGACTTAAAGCTAGTTTTGGAACAATAGTATCAAAATTTTGACTATATCATTTCAACATGAATGAATGTGTTGAAATCGATCCATTTAAATGACACTTCAAAATGTTGTTCCATTTTGTGACATATTTAGGATCCTTGAGATAGGATGCCTTAAGAATTTTACATGTAGATGGTTAAAGCAAGAAATTGCATTGAAAAAATATGATATTTGCAAGGAGACTCGTGTACGGTATATTTATAATTACATCTGGCCAATGTTATTATGAATTCACAAATACATGTAGTGCATATGCTTATCGTATTATGTTGACACAATTATGCATATTCAATAGTGGTAACTATGGTATAGTAATAACCATATTGATAATGGTCAACATTTGTTGGAAAATATAGGAAAACAAATTTGCAAGTTTAGCCAAGGTTGGAAAAATGAACTAAAGGGCTTTGTAAGTTCTTGGGAGACGTCCCATGACGAGCCAATAACTCCTATATATGTACATGATAATGTAAATAATGGTGAGTCTAGAAATATTTGTCAAAGACATAACACCATTCAACAATGACTCTCAAGATGAATGACTACATAAAGTCAAAATCAGATTGCGGATCCGCTACGAAATGCTTGGAATGAGAGGTCGTTATGAGGAATGGTACAAAAACCCATAGATTAATAAGTTATTGCGAAGGAAAACCCAACCTAGTTGATTGGAGATCCCAAGATCTAGGTTCAATAGGACAACCTACTTGCATATAAAATTTGTGAATCACTGTGGGGGTTAACCCCAACCCATTCCTAAAACAAACAGTGATGCAGGTTAAGTTTATTGTCGTGGATGATAAATTGGAAATCATCACTGTAATTAGCTTTTAATGATTATTATAAAATCACCTATGTGAGAGAGAAGTGGGGTTGCTTCAAAAGGAATTGTATGGACACATTCCTAAGAGCTCTTACAGAACCAGGCAAGTGTCCATGACCATAACGGACACATCAATGAGAACCTAACTAGGTCAGGGAGAATCATGTGAGACACATATTGATTATTTACACAAACGGAAAAATAGTTCAAAGACATCGATTCTACTGGTCTGCTAGTAAAATAAATCTGTATCTTAAGGGAAGGTTCAAAGGGTAACACCTACCTATCCTATGCATGATTCAACTGTTGGATTTTATCTAGGTAGCTTGAAAATGCTTGATCAATTTTCATTCATGTGGGGGATTATTGGAAAATTGGTGTTAACCAATTTATAAAAATGGGTTTTCCCCATTTTTTAACACGTCCAAAATGATTTATATGAATGAGAAATTAATCCTTAAAGTAAGGGTGTTGGAAGAAGTAAATAAAAGAGTTTAATGGTTAGGAGAAAGAAAAGAAAAGTCTAGGGACCTTTCTTGCAAATATTTCTTTCCTTTGTAACTTAAATTGTAATTAATATTACAATTTAATTACATATTAACACACATTAATTTTGTGATTAATAATGGTGTTTAAATGAGAGGTTATAGAATGTGTAGTATAAATACCACTACTCTACAACCATTTGAGTACACCAAAAAGAATGTAAGAAAACTCTCTTCTTCCCACTTCATCTTCTTCTTTTTTCTAGCTATATTGAAGATATAATCCAGGCCTATTGAGGGTTCGGGTGGTCTAGAAGAACCACTTTAAACTGTTGTATCCTGGGAAACAAACACCCGGTAGCGGACGAATTTGTTTTAAGGACAACGTGTTAAACACATGCCTCAGTTTTTCTATTTTCTTATTTGTTTTCGTACATTACCGGAATATTATTCCTACATAAACATGCCTTTAAGGTATTCAAGTTCCTATGGTATTAATGCTATGATATGGATTTACTTGCATACGATTGTAGCTTAGGCTTTTATTCGAATAAGTTCAACTTACATTGATTTGAAATTACGGGTTGTTACAAAATTCATGGAGTCAGCCATATCCTTCACCGTTCTAAAGGCACGTACATATTCATTATGTGTATTCAACATATGACTTAAAGATTTCACAACCTTGGAAGATAGCAAGGCATCATCCTCACCACGAAACGAATGAAGCCTATTTGAAATTTCATTTTCCGTGTCCACATGTATATCTGCAGAAGACACGGACGCCGACGTAATTCGGGGTAAAACGACCCGATCCAATGCGAAATCTGGGTAGAAACTTTAAAGACATAAGGTGCATGACTCTTATTCATTGACTCATCCACCTCTGCACCAAAGGAAGTCATAGCGAACATAGAGTTATAGGCTCTCACATTATGCATAAAGTGATCATTCTCGAAATAATGTACCAGCAAAGGTGGGGGAGGAACAGGATATGGAAGAACAACAGAGCCCGACTTGCAACACTTGAAAAAAGCATGTTAAGTTGTTAACTAACAAGATTTTTGAAAAAAAAATGTTTAAAAAAGCTTCCATTATAACCTTTTATTTTTACATAAGTTTTTTAGATGAAAAAGCTATTGAAAAAACTCATATCATGAATATTTTTGGAGTATTCAAACTTGAGTGTTCTCTACAATTATAATGATAAAAGGTAATTGTTAATTGGGATAATGACTTAAAAAGGTAATATATTTTTTGATTTGTACACATTTAATTACTAAGTTTTTTTGTCCATATCTTCCCGTTGAACTTGTTGAACCGTTCAAAAAACATCTTTATGACCTGCTATGACATGTTTCCGACATATTTGGCAGCTCCGAAAATCTTTGCAGCTCCAGCGAGACTCCGATCATCTTCTCCGACGAGTCTTTGACCAACAATGTTTTTTTTCCGGCAGTGAATCCGATTTTCATCTCTAGAACCATGAAGCCACCATGCATCAATGGGTTCAACACTTCCATTCAACCCATCATATACAAAATCACGAATAGTCTTCACTTTCCCATTTTGTTGAACATGGTAGTCACCGAAAAAACATGCATAATCGAATCATCTACCACCACCCGTTTTCCTTCTAAAACTGCCCTCACCGGAGAAAGCTTCATTTTGACTCCAAAAATCCTTAATCGTCTGAGGAAGTGTTCCAAATAAATATGCAATACCGAGTTGTACATGGTGTATCATAGAAAATAAACTTGGACTGGATTAAGCAACATTTAATCTGGAAATCAAAGATTCTTTGAGAACATTTAATGGGGGCTAAAGTGGTGACATGGTTTCACATGTGATGGTTGGTTCCAATAGGCAATGCATCATCGGTTTGTACATAGAATAGTAGGGAAAATACCAAGAATAGGATTTAGCAATATCTAATATGGAAAGAAGCTATTATCTTTGCCAGCTAAGTGAAACGACAACGTTTTGAGGGGTAATGACTTGTACAAATTTGACTTTCTAATTGACGAGGAACATCGAATGGTTTATTCAAGATTCACCAGAAAAGAAAATAGAGTCCATCAGGCTGTTGCAAGCGCCACCCACCCTCTTCGATTACTTCGCTGCAATCAACACTTCAACCGGCATACACGCTCTTCAATTACTTCTCTCCCTTAATAGATATGCGTCCGAAGACCGACTTTGTTTCACTCACGGGATCTATCCCCGGTACAGGTCAAGAAGCTTCTTCTCCCTCTTGTTTTACTTGATGGCTGGTAAAATATCAGAAGGTTGGGATTGACTGATTGATTGTGTTGGTAATTAACAGAGCATGGGAATGCAATGAAAGAGTGTTGACGGTGTAGGCTGGATGGGGATGGTGGCGCATGTATGATGAATGATGATGGTAGTGGTAATGGTGGAAGAAGGATGATGTTCGGTTTGTGAGATCCAACCCAAAAACTGGTGGAGATATTGGTATATGGTCTCCATTTCTTTTTCTTATTTTTACAGGTGCATGGATGGTGGGTAATTTAGGCTGGAATGGAGAAATAAGGGTGGTGTTAGGGTAGCTCGTCGGAGCTATCAAATACGCCGAAAAAGGTTTAAGGTTGTGGGTTGTGGCTCTTGAAGACGATTGATGTCGATCTTTTTAATTCCATAAATCCCCAAAAGAGTTCAAACTCAACAAAACTCGTTGAAGAAGATGAACGGAAACTCGTCTGAACTGTCAAATATGACGGTGACCGACTAAACCTAAAATTACAGGTCTAAGGATATTTTTTGAACGGTTTCAATGGGAAAATGTGGACAATAAAAATCCAGTGATTAAATGTGTACAAATCAAAAAATATTTAAAAAAAAGTCATTATCCCTAATAATTATTGTATATTTTAATGTTGCTATAAGCCTATAATAAATAATTAAAAATAAGATATCACGATAAATAAATAAATTAATAACAGTACGATTCTTATTTCTCGATATAAATGAAATTTAGTTTTTTTGAAAAATAAAAAAACTGGACAAACGTCATCTGATATATTTTCTACCGGTTCCATTTTAACCATTTATTCTGTTGTGATTGATAGTCTTCCCTCTGACGCCAATAGTCGCCGACGACCAAGACAAAAGATAAATCGAACTAGAGAGCAGTTCCAGATTCTGGCGTGGTGACGAATCGATACCTTGCTTCTAATGCATGAATCAGTGATCTTATAGACGATCCAAAACCAGTTCGATTAGTAGGGGTCTTAGGGTTTTCATCTGAGCGTGTGTTATGGATTTCCAGAAGAAGAGAATCCAATTTCTTAGTTTTATTGTTGGCGTTATCGTCCTCAGTTTCACAGGTACAAACCTATTCCCGTTTTCTTCTACTGTAGTGTTTAGATTCTTCTCTTCAATATCTGTTAGATAATTGCAATTTTTTGGTCTGTATTCCTCGTTATTAAAGTTAAAAGAAGGGAAAAAGTATTGGTTGCGGAAGGAATTAAGAAAACAATACACCTTGATCTGAATTAGTAGGGAACTCATCATATAAACAGAAACCAAGTTCGTTATAGTAAATCAAGATTTGATATGGTTTTGGTGCATTTTCTGAGAAAATAGAGAGTTATCATTCCACTTTTGAGGTCATACTATGTGATTCAACTTCTAAAACGATATAAGTTGCATAAAACTTTAACAGTTGTATAAACTCTATAATCCGGTGGCAAGATTACTGCAATTAGATTATTCTAACTGAATTTAAACATGTCTTTGAACTTGAGAAGTACAAGGGTTGACCTCAGAAGTCAAAGATTTTGAAAATTTAGAAAGGAAATCAAGGGTCTTGGTTCTTTTAGTATTTGAGTCTCCTTCGATGCAGGGTTAAATGAATCATAGATTGGTAAACTAGATGGATATATAATAGTAGATCCAGGCATTCACTCGTTACATACACATCTTAATAAATATAAAAGATGGGTTGTTGTGTGAGTGTGTACATTTGAAACTTTCACAGATTGTCTGAATCAACACCCATGGCTTATGTTTTCCATAAACCCCTTTGTTTGGATAATGGATATCAATCTTTTGTAAAATATCTTATTTGAATTTCATTTGATTGTCTGTCAGTTCTTTTGTATCCAGTTTTTATGTGATTTATCAAGTATCAAGGGAAGTATTCTTTATTTTGGTTGTTCATTGTTCCCTTTGTCTCATATATTCCTTTTTTTCAGCTGAAAAATGCAGACAAATGGTTGGAGAAACGGGATCATCCCAAAGTGGAAAGTTCACCATCTTCAACTGTTTAGATGGGGGTTCAGGAACATTAGCATGCATAGTAAAAGAAAGTGTAAAGCTTTACACATACAACATCAGAACACTTCATGTTGAAGTAGCAAGAAACAAAGCAATCGAAGCATCACTAGCAGATGCAATTTCACAAGGCATGGAAGCCAAGCGCTGCAAACAAGCCCAAAAAGATGGAGCCAAAGCTGCAAAAATGGCGACCCGGAAAGCTAAACGGATCATAGGCCCGATTATTTCTTCCGGGTGGGATTTCTTTGAAGCCATTTATTATGGAGGAACTGTGACTGAAGGGTTTCTTAGGGGTACAGGAACATTGTTTGGGACTTATTTTGTTGGGTATTTAGGGGAAGAAAGGTTTGGGCGATTTGGGTATTTGGTTGGAAGTCAATTTGGAAGTTGGATTGGTGGAAGGATTGGGCTTATGGTTTATGATGTTGCTAATGGTGTTCATTTCTTACTTGGGTTTGGTCAATTTGAGGAGAATGTTGGTCAACGGGAGGAGAATGTTGGTCAAATGGAGGAAATTGTGGTCAACTGGAGGAAAGTGTTGGTGAAAATGGGTATGGGGGTTCGTTTCTTGAAATGGTCATGGGTTATGTGGGTTCGTATTTGTCTGAAGAATCTCAAGTGTCTGAGGAGGCTGATGTTTTTGAAGCTCCGGTTTATGAGAGCTTTGAGTCAACTGAAGAACTTTGATGAGGTAATTGTGGATTTGAAGTTTTATTGATACTTTTATTGGTTCTATGTATGTGTAGAAGCATTGGAACAGTTATTGCTACTTGTTAATATGCAACTGGTTGTGTATGGAGTGGCATAAGTTATTAAAATTCTAGATACATTAACTGCTTAGTTGTATTGTAACATATAATAAGTTATGAAGGGGTGGGGTGGAGTGGGTGTAATTGGGGTATAACTTATTGGTGATTTATTTATTTATTTTATCGTAACAATGAGAGGTATATTGTTGGTGAGGTAGGGGCATAAATAGAGATGTTCAATTTGTTTCTTTTTAAATTTTAGTTTCTGGAACAATGGTGACACGAACCTTTTTCTGTGGAATATGTTGGGTTCATTGGTCTAAATCTTAGTATAAACACAACAAAAATAACAATAAACCAACCTTTCATTTCAAAACAGCCCAAAGGGAGTTCAAAGATTATACCCCCAAGCAGCCGTTTTAGTTGATGTAAAGTTGATAAATCCATTCTTGAGCATTGCTTAATGCTTTATGCTTATACGCTCATCATCTAAATCACAATGACATGAATATTGAATCACTTCACTACACCAAATCGAAACGAATATGGAATATCCAAAACTAAAATTTGGAAATATAAAAATGTCAAAGAAACATGGGGAAACATGGAAATTATTTACAGTAAACGACTAAAGTCTTGGTTAATAAACTAAAGCCTAGTCCCAACTCCCATCTATTAAATTATGGATGAGAATTTGGCCCTAAAACCTTAACCGAACCGAAACAAATTAGGCCCGAATAAGCAATTCGATTCGGTTTTCGGGTATCTATATGAGGCTTATTCGGTTTTCGGATTATTCGGTCTGGGTTACCCGAATAAGGGCTTATTCGGGCCAAAAGGACCGAACCGAATTTGAAAAGTCACGATTTTTTTTTTTTTGTTTCAGCATGTTTGCAAATTTTTAGCCAACTTTGAAGTGTCATAACGTCTTCGTTATTTGTTCGATTAGCCCGGTTTTTTTTCCTACTTGTAGTTCACAATTTAAACTATAGTTTATACTATTTAAATGCGTTATTTGGTTGTATATTCAGTGAGATACAGGCCTCTAAACATGGGGTATTAAAGCTGAGTTTTTCTGTTTCAGCATGTTTGAATTTTTTAGCCAACTTTGAAGTGTCATAACTTCTTCGTTATTTGTCCGATTAGCCCGATGTTTTTTCCAGCTTGTAGTTCACAGTTTATACTACAGTTTACACTATTTAAATGCATTATTTGGTTGTATATTCAATGAGATACATGCTCCTAAATAAGGTGTATTAAAGCTGTTTTTTTTTACAAAAAAAAATACTAACATTTACTTTATTATAATAGATATGTTCGAGATGTTTTGACCCCCGCAAAAGAAGATTTCAACATTTGTAGAGCTATGGTTGGATTTCTCGAGAAATTCAAGATGAAAACCGACAGTATCGACGTCAACAAAATCGATGACATATCGTTTTTTTGGAGAAATATGTGATGTGTACAAACACAAATTTTAACTCTTTTTGCACCTTTGAAACAATTATATATGCTTTGTATTATTTCTAATTAACAATTTTTTTTCTTTAAAAGATTTGTTATGAAATCATAAGCTATAAAAGTCATACAAAATACAATATTTATAATCACATTGTAAATGTTATTTGGGTTATTCGGGTTATACAATCATAATACGGTTTACCCGGTTATTTTCAGTTATAATAGGTCCTTAATCATCTTGTATATGTTATTTGGGTTATTCGGGCCGGAACCGAACCGAACCGAATAATACCCAAGCCGAACCGAACCCGTATTGCTTATTTGGTTCGGTTTTCGTTTCATACAATTACCCTTATTCGGTTCTCGGGTTATTCGGGTTCGGGTCGGGTCGGTTCGGTTCAGTTCGGTTCCGGTCCGAATAACATCCCTATATTAAATTTTCGAATGTAAAATATCAAAAAATTATATATTTCAGATTTGAGATGTTCGAAATATCCCGAAAATTTACAAAATTATTATAGCAGGATATACGTTTAGATATCAAAAAATCTGAAATATACGAAATTTTAGATATTTTTGCATTGAAATTTTGGATTCATATATTTTTGGACATTACAACACAACTAAACTAAACATGAGCAACTTCACAATCCTAAACTTGTTATCGGCACATTTATTCTCCGATTGTTTTGTTGGGAAATTTCCAAAAAAGTCATAATATTTTGAGAAATTTTTTAATAAAGTTTTAAATTTTATATTTTGAACAGAAAAATCCTGACTTTTTAACTTTTTGAATAGAAAAGCACAAGAAACCGGCTAATTTATTTACTTTAGCAAATTTTGACCTGTTCAGCAGATCATGTGACCAAATTGTTAATTTTTCCAAAATAATGATACTTTTCTGTAGATTTCGTCAAAATTTGTATATAATGTATAAATGTATTTTTTACGTATTTATGTATTTTTTTTAAAGTTTTTATATAGATGTTTATGTATATTTATGTATTTTAAATGTATAAACGTATTTTTTTTTACGTATTTATATGTATTTTTTTTAAGTATTTACATATGTTTTGTGTATTTTTATATATTACATATTTATATTTATTTTTACATATTTATGTATTTTTTTTAGCTTTTATATAGATGTTTATGTATTTGAAATGTATAACCATACTATTTTTATGTATTTATGTATTTTTTTTACTTCAAGTCGTCTTCACCATTTTATCTAATTCGCACAGCTTATTCGAATATGTCTAGATGGTTTTCCTATACACCCACATATTTTAAGTTTTTCTCATTCGATGCTTAATTTCAAGATAAGCAATAGAAAAAGCTTAAAATATGTGAGTATGTAGGAAAACCATCTAGACATACTCGAATAAATTGTACGAATTGGATGAAATGGTGAAGACGACTTGTAGTAAAAAAAATACATAAATACATAAAAGAAAATACAATTATACATTTAAAATACATAAAAATACATAAACATCTATATAAAAAACTTTAAAAAAAATTCATAAATACATAAAAATATATAAAAATATGTAATACATAAAAAAAACAAATAAAATACATAAAAATATGTAAAATATGTAAAATACTTAAAAATGCATATAAATACATAAAAAATACGTTTATACATTTAAAATACATAAAAATACATAAACATCTATATAAAAAACTTAAAAAATACATCAACACATAATACAAAAAAATAACACATAAAAATAAATAAAAAGTATATAAAATACTTAAAAATACATATAAATACGTAAAAAAATATGTTTTTAAATTTAAAGTATATAAAAAATATAAACATATACATATAAAAACTTTAAAAAAATATATAAATACGTAAAAGTAGATATAAATACGTAATACATAAAAAAATAACACATACAAAATATGTAAAATACTTAAAAATACATATAAATACGTAAATAAATATGTTTATATATTTAAAATATATGAAAATACTTAAGCATATACATATAAAAACTTAAAAAAATTCATAAATATGTAAAACATATATAAATACGTAAAAAATACGTTTATACATTATATATAAGTTTTGACGAAATACGTTTGTCCACATTTAGTCACTTTTTTTTATACATCATTGATCAATGAATTTGTTTTTATGTTAAAAAAATATCATTACAACTGATTATTAAACATTGTAAAATTATTTTTTAACACCAAAAATATGTTCACAAGTAAATTATTTACATAAAAAGAAAAGTGAGCAAAAGTAAAATTTTGTTACCTCATAATTCATTATCCATTCTTCATTTTTCATTATAATTTTTATTAACAAGTTCTATTAATCGGTAAAATATTCATTTTTATAAAATTTTATTTTGTAAATCTAGTTTTAAATCTCTTTCTTATCTTGATAAAAAATAATTAAGTATTAAAATAGGATTTACCAACCAACATAAATCTATATATAAATCTACTTTTGTTCATATTTGATCATTTTTTTTACATAATTACCAGTAAAATTATTTTTGGTGTTCACAAAATAGCCTTATGACCTAATTCTATTTTTTGAACACAAAAAATAAGTTCATTGATAAATAATATACAAAGAAAAAAATGATTAAATATGAACAAAATAAAAAATTCTATACCCTCCAAAATCATTATCCCTTTGAAATAATTATAGTTCATGGTAACATTCTAGATATAAAGAAAGAAATTTAGCTAAAAACCAACCTTTAACAATCAAAATATCAAATCTTCGAAATTGCAATAGTTTACCCGAAAAGAGAGACGTGTGTGGGCAACGGGAAGCCCCGTTATAGGTGACATGACACCTAATAACGGCGCCATAACGGGAGGAACACCGCCCCCTAGCCGTTATTAGGTGTTATGTTATGACGCGTTATAGTGAACACGGGAGGTAACGTTGCGATTTTGCTTGTGTTTTTATTCAACCGTCATAATTTCAACCGTTTGTTTCAAACGGTAACATAAAAAAAATCAAGTTTTATTGGTGTTATCACATGTTATTAGATGTTGCCCATTTCCACATTGGGTGTTATAACACCCATGTATGAGTAGGATGCTAACATGACACCTTTTGGGTGTGGTAACATATACTAACATGTTGCCCACACCTAGTAGTCTAAAACACCCAAGAAATCTTTATTGGGTTGATAGCGGTCCAAAAAAGTCCAACACATATAGCTTGACTTCACATCAACACAGAAATTTCATTTAATCAGGTCCCAATGTTCCATCATCACATCAACATACATTTCTTCTATATGTAGCAAGTAAATTATTTACATGTCAATAGATAGTCACATCAAATGCCAAAATACTCACCAAAAATAGATTATGATGTATTCATTCGGCAGATATTAAAATAACCTTAGCAATATCAGTCTTGTTGGAAACAAGGGAATCTGAAAGAAAACGAAATATCCTTGTTGGGTTAAAAAACATATAAATTTGTTGATAAATATGGATCTAAAGATACGAGACGATGCCTTAATTACTATAATTAGCCAATAAAAATGAGACTTAGCATTATGATAAAAAGGTAGCCAATGAGTACGAGTTGTACGGGAGTTTGTGGTGAAATAAACGTTGAATTTGAATTCTAACGTGAGTAGTGGTATTATAAACGTTGAATAACATGTTTTTCCTTA